AGTCTGAGGTTACACTGAGCTATAATGACACCACTCCACTCTAGCCTGACCAACCGAGTAAGACCATTCCTCAAAAATAAAAAAAACAGTATTCAGCCCATAGTTTTTAGACTTGTGACAAAGTTTATCTAGCCCTGATAACAGAAGAAATCACCATTAGAACCTGGACTTAGAGAACAGTGACTAGATATGAATTTAAGTTATCTTCCATAGAAGAAATGAGGATGTTTTTCTGTTGTTTATAGTTAGATTATGTTAAACAAAAAATATTAAACAAAATATTATTATTTTTTCCTATGGCTCAATCATCACGGGATACCCAGCATGTTTCTCAATAAATTTCTCTTTTGCTTAACTGTGTCACTCTGCTAATTAAAAAATAGTGCCTAGTGGATAATCTAAAGAGGGTATGCAATTAGGTGAGAGTGCTGGCACTCATAAAAACTTAGAGAGCATAGCTAAAGTAATAGAAATGGATGAAATCACTCAGAAGCATAAAAAGAGAAGGCCAAGGCTAATCCAAGACTACTAATATTAAGGAATTAGCAGAGAATTAAGAGTCTACAAAGGAAAAATGGCCAATAGGAAGAAAGTCAGAAAAGTAGCAGAGTCATAATCAAGTCAAAAGTCAAGGAAGAAAACAGTATCAAGGAGAAAATGGTTAATAATATCTAATAGCCAGCCACATACACCAAGGGTGGCAGGTTCACTCAGCCCAGGCCAGCTAAGCAACAATGACAATGGCAACCTCAACAAAAAAAATAGCCAGGCATTGTGGTGGGCACTTGTGGTCCCAGCTACTCGGGAGGCTGAGGCAAGAGAATCACTTGGGCCCAGGAGTTTGAGGTTGCTGTAAGCTGTGGCGCTATAGCACTCTACTGAAGGTGACATAGTGGGACTCTGTCTCAAAAATAATAATAAATAATAATATCAAATATAGAAAGACCTGAAAGATTAAGCAATTAGCATACCATTTGCAATACGGAGATTACAGCTGGCCTTGGTAAGAGAAATATTTCTGGCATGGTAGAATAAGACCACTGGCTAAAGTTTAAGAGTGAATAAGAAGTATATAACACTACATAAGAGTATATTCTTGCCATTAAAAAAAAAGTTTAAGGCTGAATCATATTAAGCTTCTAGATGTAACTACTAATTTATAGAAAACACAGGGAACACCAAAAAAAAAAAAAAAAAATTTTTTTTTTACATGAAACTACTGGGATACAACCAACCCAAACCAGACTCTCAGAAATCTCACAGGTCAAAAACCTGGATTCTTTAACCAATTAAATGTATGGAAACAACAATAAAAAGATAAAGGGGGAACCAACAGATTAAAAACAAAAAGGGTGGCACCTGTAGCTCAGTGGGTAGGGTGCTGGCCACCACACTGAGGCTGGTGGGTTCAAATCCTTCCTGGACCAGCTAAAAACAATGACAACTGCATCAAAAAAAAAAAAAAAAAAAAGCCTGGTGCTGTGGCAACTACCTGCAGTCTCAACTAATCAGAAGGCTGAGGCAAGAGAATCACTTGCCCAAGAGTTTGAGGTTGCTGTGAGCTATGACATCACAGCACTCTACCAAGGCAACAAAGTGAGACTCTGTCTTAAAAAAAAAAGAGAGAGAGAATGGAAAGCTAGGGAAGTGGAGGAGGCTGATACTCCCTTAGTCCAAAATAAAGGCTAGAGTTTAGGGTTCTGATACTTGCACAAATCTGAAAGGTATGGCTGTGGCCCTGTGAAAAGCAAAAAGGTTAGAACCAAGCCTAAGAGCTTGGAATTAGCATCGGAAGAACTCAAAATCTTAGAAGAATATGAAAGAGACAATAAATAAAGTGTTTAATTTATTACAGAGTTTAAGAGAACTCATGGAATGCCCAATGATGGAACAGGACAGAACAATAAGAACAACAAAAAAGAATAAGCACATTTCAAAAGTACTCTTACAGAACTCTAACTAGTCACTGAAATAAAAAAGAAATCCATGGCTGGGGTAGACCTGGCTGAAGAAGTAAATAGTGAGTTAGACAATAAAGTTGAGGAGATTACCCAGAGAATGGCATAGAAAGGTAAGATGCGAAATATCAAAGATCCCTAAGGCTAGTGAGAAAATCCCAGCATCTAGTGAATGTGAGTCTTGGAGAGAAGGAATAAAAAGACTGGAGATAAGGCAATATTTGAAGAATAAATGGCTAAGAATTTCCCAAAGTTGAACAAAAACATGAGACTTTAATTTGAACACGTGTAAGTTCCAAGCAAAGAAATAAAAACACATGCATATCTAACATAGTAAAACTCTAGAACACAGTGGACATAGCTAAAAAATCTTAAAAGCTACCAGAGAGAAAGTGTGTGCAGGTGTGTGAGATGCCTTAGAAAGGAATGATGGCTGGACAACAGATTTCTTTCTTTTTTTTTTTTTTGAGACGGAGCCTCAAGCTGTCCCCCTGGGTAGAGTGCCATGGCATCACGCTCACAGCAACCTCCAACTCCTGGGCTCAAGCGAGTCTCCTGCCTCAGCCTCCCAAGTAGCTGGGACCACAGGCGCCCGCCACAACGCCTGGCCATTTTTTGGTTGCAGCCATCATTGTTGTTTGGCGGGCCCGGGCTGGGGGTTCGAACCCGCCACCTTAGGTGTATGTGGCTGGCGCCTTAGCTGCTTGAGCCACAGGCGCCGAGCCGACAACAGATTTCTTACCAGCAATAGCAGATGGCTGCCAATGATGGAATAGTAGCTTCAAAGTCTTGAGTCAAATGCCTTTCCATCTAGAATTCTGTACCCCTTAATCCTGTTCATTCAAGATTGAGGCAGAGAAGCTAGCAGACTTCTGGTCACAGGGTCATAAGTGTCCAAGGTTAGTCCCAAGGAGCTGACCTGTGACCTTGATTGAGGATTCAAACCGATTAATAAGCCAATACTGGTAGGCAGCTGGGTTTGGCTGGACACTAGGCTAAGGCTCTGGTTACTAAGTCTTTGGATTTTCCTATCAGAGGCTGTCACATAGCCGTGTTCAGCTTCATGTTCAGAAGGGTCCCTAGCACAGAGAGCTTCTGGGGCAGATAGAGATCTCTAAACCTGGGACCCAGGGACTCTGCCTGTGAAAGTAAAAGAACTGCCTACTGCTCTCTGGACTTTTCTATCTACAGAAACCATTGATGCAAGAAGCTGCTTTTCCTCTCTCCTCAGCTATAAAAACCCTCAGGACAGGGCTGCTGGGTTGCTCCATAGACCCTTGTCCAGAGGAATTCACTCACTGCTTTGGGCCAGCATAATTTTCCAGGCTTTTTCCTGAGCAGGGTCTGGGAAAGGTGAAAGGACAACTTAGTAGAGAGCTTTTGTCCAAACACCTGGGCAGTGGTTCATAGCTTCTGTTAAAGTTGTACCAGGCTTTTCATATTGCTCTGTTCAGAGAAGGGCCTGGGCCCGCAGGAG